TCTTTTTTTTTTTTTTTTTTTTACAGCAATAGAGATTGAATGCAGGACCTTTGTACTGACCGCACCCCCAGCCCTTTTTGTTTTGTTTTGTTTTTTGAGATAGGGTCTTGCTGTGTAGTCGAGGCTCATCTTCAACTCACCTTGTATCCCTGGATAGCCTTGAACTTGCAGTTCTCCTTCCTCACCCTCCCAAGTGCTGGGATTACAGGTGTGTACCACTACATTCAGCTACCTCCAACCCTTTTAATTTTTTACTTTGAGACATGGTCTCACTAAGTCACTAAATCTCCAGGCTGGGTTTAAACTTGCAATCCTCTTGCCTCAGCCCCCGACAGCACTGAGATTACAGGCCTGCACCACCATGCCAGGCTGCCACGTTACCTGTTTTTTTTTTTTTTAAGACAGTGTTTCTAATGTCTATGTTGTTGCTCTAACTCATGGGCTCAAATGAGATTGCTGCCGCAGTTTTCCAAGTAGGTGTGCATATAGTCATGTGCAAGTAAGCCCAGCTTCTTTTTTGAGACAGGATCTGATCTTACTACTATTTCAGGCTGGCCTTGAATTCACATATCCTCCTGTTTCAGTCACCCAAGTGCTGGGATTTCAGCTTTGCACCACCATGCCTGGCTTAGGCACAGATTCAAATAAAACTGCTCAGTGTACTTCCTTTTGATAGTTCCTTTTCATTCTCCCTCTCCTTTGCAATTATTAACTGTTTATTTGAATGGTCCATGTTTTTGTCTGTAATACTCTTGTCTATGGAGCAGAAAGGTGAAATTAAATGGTTTGCAATAAATAAGTGACATGCTTTTGTCTGAGGGTTCCACACCAAGCAAACTGATCATCAAAGTGAAATCTCATGGTCATAATGGACTAGAAAAGCCAACTATTTTATATGTCCCTCAGGTCTCCACGTGAGAAGTTTTGTTAAACTCACTGGCACCCAAACCAGGGCAACTTGCCCTAGCTGGTGGCTCAGTATTAGCATGGCAACTCATCATCGGGACATGTACCCAAGCAGAACAAATAACCTGTACGTGTCAGGTATCAGTGGCAGATGATAAACTAGAGCTAAAATTGCCCAAATTCTACCACATAAGTAGTATGTGAAAGCTGCCTGGTTGTTCACATTCAAGAGAACCAGTTATCTTCTCAGCTACTGTAATTGTACAGAAGAGCATTATGAGAATATAAATAAACTATTTGGGAGTAACTGATTTTTCACACTTGGTTGCATGTTATGACACTGTATGGTTTACATCAGTTTATGCAGTCCTATATGCTGCTCCTACTCTTTGCAAACAATTTAAAGTTTAAAGTACCTAAACACAGTCATCATTAAGATCCCCAATGCTTCAGTCAAGGCTAGAGTTATATTATCTTTCAATGTAAGCAACACCCTCCGCAGGGCGGTAGCAGAACTTTTAAGAAAACTATAGCAATGCTTACCCTTCTACTATATCAGAGAAATTATCTAACACTCGATGTTCGGCTGCAATGGCTTTGTCATCTGGTCGACCAGCCTTTTCCAGGAAGCATAAGGCTGGGTCTGCTCTCATAGTATTATATTTCTCATAGCCTAGAAGAAAAAGGGACATAAATTAAAAAAAAAAAATCAGATCCATATTTGCTATGATGCTTACTTTGTATGCTGTTGGACTGTGGGCTACTACAAAATATAATTAACCTTAACTTGTTAGGCCTTAGGTTTACTAATATATTTAACTTCTTAATAGCAACTTAGCAAATTTTAACCTAGTGATTGACAAGAATTTAAGCAACTTTTTTGGGGGGTGGGTGTTGAGACAAGGTCTCAGTAATTAGTTCTGGCAGCCCCTTGAGCTCACTGTGTAGTATACGCTGGCCTCCAATGGGTTGGGACAATAAGCATGCGGCACCATGCTCAGCTTTAACAGGTTTATATAACAATACATCTCCATAGTCATTTAACTGGTAATCTTTCTATCACTCTTATTATAGAGATGAAGAAAGTAGACTTGAATGAACATATTTTAGGATGTTTGGACTCTTCTAAATGTCTGTGTTTCACAAGTGTTCATAGTTTTTCTTAACTTTTCAACAAACTTTTCAAAAATGTATATTAAATGCTATCACTTTTTATTTTATAGATGTAAAAGATTTTTTGAGGGGGAGGGGCTGGGGATTGAACACAAGGGGCTCAGGTAGGCCAAGCGGTGTTGAAAAATATTTTTTCAAAAGGAAAAGACATTCCTATACCCAAAAGTACTGGAAATTAGCACCCACTGCTTTTAGTGCTTGGAATTTGGTATTAGCCAAAATAGTAGTAGTAGTAGTAGTAGTCATCTTACCTACATAGGCACAACTGCTGAACATTCAGACAAATGGGACATTTAAACGGAACACTTTCAGCAAGCCACAGGAAAGCCATATGAATTAACTGTGTGTGTTTATTTGTTTTTGAGACAGAGTCTCGCTGTGTAGTTCAGGCTGGCCTTGAAATCACTACATAACCTAGTCTGGCGTCCAAATCGTGGCACTCCTCCTGAGAGTGCTGGGATCACAAATGTATGTCACCATGCCCAGCTTTACTGTGGTTATTAACAGGAGTGGGCATGTATTACTTCTAATTTGTTGGACCCCACAACATACTGGTAGTAGTGATTACAGAACAGATGATACCCCCTACCTTGAGATTCAATTATCCATCTGGTCTGCCTTGAACATCTATTTATAGAAACAAACTGCTTGGCTCTGGATATTTAAGGACTAATTTCCTATTCAAATATAAATCTATTTATTAATGAAAGAACTACTGAGTTTCTCTGTCATGGGCATTTTGTTAAATGTTCCATTTGTCAACATAAATCTTCAATGGGAGAGAACAGGCTCAGAGAAGGCACCTACCATGTTTAAAGACTCCAATGAGCAGGGATTTGTCAGCCTCACTGTCCCACCATGTTGTTGGAACTTCCAGCTGGTCCACTACTGGGAACCATATGTCAATCTCACTAAAGATATAAAATGGCACAGTCAGTGAAACAAAGGTAAAAATTAAAGTGACAGTTCTTGGGAAGATTATTGCAGCTACTGTCCTTTAATTTAAATGTTCATGCATCTGCCCTATTTCCTTGCACCAAATATAGGACGACTAAAGATCTAACACACATATTTTAATTATCAGATATCCCCAAAACAGTACAGAAAGGAATAAGCAAATCAATCATCCCTGGAGTAAGGCAGGGCATATAAAAAATACAGAGAAGAGCTTTACCTGGCAATAGCGCCCCCTAACACCTTTTCTGCCTGGTCACCAATAACTTCCTGCCTCAGGTAGTACAGCATTCGCACTCTCAACAGGACCCTACGAGGGAGGATGGAGAAGCCAGCTTAGTGACAGTGTTGAAAAAGTGTTGGGGAGAAATGTCTTTGCTGAATTCTACCCTTACTTGTTACACTGATGTTTCAAGTGCTTCTTGTAACTCTCATCTTGAAAAAGTGTATCAGGATTATATTTCCGGATCCAGTCTGCCTTATGGATATCAAAAGTACTTTGTGACTTGACTTTCTTCCCCTTGCGTCCACGGGGAACAGGGATAGAAAGACCTGGGGAAGGGGAGACATTGAAGACTTGGATTGAGAAAAACCCTTAAACCTGAAAAGGACTAGACAATTTTTGAAAAGACGAAAAGTAAGGAGTTGATAATTACCCGAATGATTCTGCAGTTCTTTTGTTTTGCCATTTTCAGCAGGGCTAATCAAGTCCCAAATGAAGCCTTTGATATTTTCATCCCCACGGTAGTGCAGAAGACAGTATACCAGGATGGCACGACATATTGTCTCTACATCTCGTTCAGTCATACGTCGCTTGAAGCGTCCGTGAGACAGAATATCTCGCCACCGTCCCCAACTAACAAAACAGAAAAGGACACTATTAATATTATTCTGGGACTCTAATTCAGTGATATTTCCCTGACTCTCAGAATTATATCGCCCAAGAAATGTGACACAAAATCTTAGAAAGGATGGCAACAAAATAAACTGATTCCAAGGCAAAAATTTTTCACCGATCCCCTCCAATTTGAAAGGCAAGGGTCAGGACAGAGACACACTACCTCTCAGGGCAAGACAGGTTCTTACCCATATACCAGGAGGTGCTTTTCCACCCGGAAGCAGTCCGTGCGTCCATAGGCATGATGGCGGTCATGTCTGCGGGAGCGTGGCCGCTCATCATCTTCACTTTCTAAGTCAGAGAATTCTACCAGGTCATCATCTTTCAGAGTGCTGAAATGGCGGGTCTGTTTCCGTACTCTTGGAGTGTCAATCACCAAATTATTCTGGGTGGAGAACAGGGAAAGTAACTCTCTTCACGATATGTTCATGGGAAAAGAAAACAATTATAGACTGAAACGGCTTTGGATGTTAACATGAAAACTGATTTAAAAAAATAATCTAGATCCCAGGAAGCAAAATTAAATATAGATGTCTAAGTGTCTTCCAGGGCCTCCTTGGTAGATCTTATATACCAGTTATCATAAACTGCAATTACCATTGAAGAATCACAAGTTACAAAGATTGAAATTAATGAGTCTTCTGCAATACTTCCTAAAGAAGAATAAACTCACCTTGCTATTAAGCAGATCCATGTCTAAATCAGCCTTTTTGGCCCACTTTTGCCAAAAGTTGGGGTCATCCAGAGAAATATCTGTTCTATTTTCAGAAGCAACAAAGCTTGCCTAATGAGGAACAAAGGGAAAGTAAACTAAATACCTTTTTGAACAAGAGGAAATAAATTAACTTTAAAAACATTTAAATCCTGAAGATTTTAGATGTTTCTCTAATATCTGGAAGAAACAGAACACCTCTTGTAACCAAATATGGCACCGTGTACCTACAATTCCAGCAATCAGGAGGCTGGGCAAAAGTATCACAAGTTGAAGACTAGTTTTGATATGGAAAGACCCTGTCATAAGAAACCAAACTTAAAAACAAATAAAAAACAATTTGAACATGCCTTGGCAAAGGTAGAACCTTTGCCTTCAGATTCAATGGTGATGGTTGTAGTTCGTCTTAACAAGATCTGGTCTATATCCTCTTCACAAAACTTGGAACCCTCATCATCTTCCTCCATAATGGCTGCATATGCTCCTTTTCTTAAGAGATCTTCAATCTCTTTCTTGGAGAACTGTTGGATCTGCAAAAACCAAGATAGATGAAATGCCTATTGAGAGAGTAGTAATCTAACTAGTATGTCAATTATAAATAAAATAAAGCTCAAAAAAAAATAACTGAGAACCCAAATAAGGTAGTTGGATGCCTGTGCAAAAATAACTTTTAGCTCTATCATTGTGACTCACTATAAGCTTAATTATAGACAACTTACTCCAGTAATGTTGCCATCCCGACCGCTCATGGACTGAAGCACAGCCTTATCCAATCCCAGCTTGAGGCTAGCCTTATCAAACATTTCCCTCTCGTAGGAATTACGAGTGATAAGACGGTACACCTTCACAGCTTTGCTCTGTCCAATTCGATGACACCGTGCCTGGGCCTGGTTTTAAAAAAAAAAAGAAAGCAAAAAGATAACATAAAAGTAACAAATGGGGAAAGGAAAAGATACACAATATCAAAGTATTTCCTATTTATAAAGCAGTCATGCGGTCAATTCAAAAGCAAGTCAATTTTAAGATGAAATTATTGTCTTACTACGTAGAGCTGACCCTACAGACTGTGTAGACATCTGTTTCTCTAATTAAAGTTTTACTGATTCAGTCCTATGCAATCATTTAAACAGTAACTATGGCTGCTTTTGTGCTGTAAGAAGAGAGGTAAGTTACTTGGCAGAGAGACCGTGGAATACAGAACCTATGACATTTACAACTGTAACTATATAGAAAGTTTGCTGACCCCTGACCTGTTACCTCTCAGTAAATAATTCTAAACTCTCCAGAAGACAGGCCCCTTCTAAGAGATCCTGGGTTATGCAGGTAATATCTAAGAAAATAATTCTTTTTACCTGCAGGTCAT